CGGGCGCCTGTAGTCCCAGCTACTCGGGAGGCTAAGGCAGGGTAATAGGTGAACCCGGGAGGCGGAGCTTACAGTGAGCCAAGATCGCACCACTGCACTCCAGTCTGGGCGACAGAACGAGACTCCATCTCATTAGTAAATAATAAAATAATAAATAAAATGTTAATAAGCACATGCAGCTCAGGGCGACCATATTAGTGAAGACCACATGCATAAGGCTCAACTGGTGTTATGCCCAGACGCTGATTTATTCTTCAGCACCCCCCAGCTCAGACCTCCTTGGCACCTGCTCAGGAGCTCGTTGGCACTCCGCAGCCGCTGCACCTCGCGCTGGGCGTCCTCGTGGGCCTGCATGGCGCAGTTGGTCTTTTCCGGCAGGCGCTGCAGTTGTTCCTCTAGGGCCCGCCGCTCACTCTCGCTGTCGCTAAGCTGCTTCCGCAGGGTGCCCAGCAGGTCCTGGCTTGCCTCATAGCGCCCACCCATGTTCTGGGGCGTGGGCATCACAGAGTCTACGGGGGTCCTGGGAGGCCTCCAGAGCCCACCTACTCTCTTCTGGTTCCAGGGATACACACTAGCCTACGCTAGGCGGGGTCCAGGGCCTGGACCTGGCCTGGGACAGGATAGGAGCCTAGGCCTGAGAGCCAAGCTTCCACTCCCCTACTATGTGCCCTCACCACCCTTTGAGCCCTCACCTCCGTGGGGTCCCGGACAATTCCTGTCAAACTCCCCCGGATGCGAGACAAACCCCCAGGCACCTTCGTCTCCTGGGTTCTGACCCCACCCCCAGGGCTCCCAGGCCCCTCCCCTTTGCATCCTGGTTCCACTCTCAGACCCCTCCCTACCCTGGCTCTGCCCCTAGTTCCCGAGCTCCTCTCATCCTAGGCTCTGATTCCCCTTGCTAGAACTTTTCCCAGAATCCTGGCTCTGTATAACCAGGGACATGTCTCCCTCTCTACCATGACCCTAACACTGCAGCAGTCTCCTCCCTCCACCAGCTGCTCAAGCACCCCCACTTCTGGGCTCGGCTTCACCGCAGAGCTCTCGGCCACCTCCTTCGGGGTCATGATACCCTCAGACACTTTCTCGGGGCTCTGGCTGCACCCTGCGGCGCTCAGACTCCTCCCCCTGACCCTGGCCCCTGACCCGCCCCCACCCCCGCTCCAG